GGACTGCCTGAGGCTCTGTCACCCAAGAGGAGGAAACTTAGGAATAGGTGACCCATATATTCTTTACTGCTTTTGCTGATGAGTGGTAATAAACAGACTGATATTAGAAGCTCAAGTGAATTAGACACAATATATTAATAAAAGGTGCAGCAGGTTCTGCTAAGTGCTAGTCTTACTTCCTTCACATAGATATAAGAATAATTTTATATATTGAATTATATACGTTGAATAATTTTCTTCATATAGTTGCCAACAATTGCAATGCAGAAGTAAAAATCTTATTGTGACATAAAGAAGCTTTGTTCCAATCAAATTTGCTGAACAATATATAGCCCTATAAAATTGCTTATGTTTGAATATTTTACAGTGTGATAAAAGGTACTAAGTTCCAGTGTTCATGTAGTAAAAAATAAAACTGTACTTAAAATAAGTTACATGTAAATAAATATTCTGCAGGAATCAAGCTCTCAAAATTTGATATTTTCACATGACATTGTTCTTGGACGCAGAACCAGTCAATCCAGAACCTCAAAATGACTCTCTGTAGTGATTTATTAGTCCGGAAGGTAACAGATAATAGTTGACACTTAAATTCAACTTACTGGAATAATAAAACTAGAGGGTTGAAAGAATTTCAGAACAAAAGCAATCACATTCAAAGTAGTTTTCCTCTTTCTTCCTGAAAATAGGCATTAAATAACTCTTTCGTGTTGCTTCAAATTAATGTTTGTAGGTATTTTAAGAAAAGGAACAACGAATAACGACGACAAACCAAAGTAGAAAAACAACTCTGTAAAAAACAATACTTACTTTAAAACTTCCGTATAGCCTTTAGCAGCTGCAACGTGAAGTGCTGTACCTCCAGATTTTGCATGCCGGACATCATTTATATGACCACTATTTAGCCACTGCCTGGCATCTCTAAGCATGATCCGTTCTTCTTCCTTTCGAGCTGCTTCTATATCAACCCCTGATAAAACAAAAATAATTGTTTTTATTTTTGCTTAATAAAAACTCTTCTTTCTATATTGGGAAATAAAATTATCCAAAACATGTCAAGTTTAAATAAAAATTAAAAATGAAAGTATATATGTATTTTGTTTAAATGGGCTACTTATAACGAGTTGGTTAAACTAAAAAATGTGGGAATATTGCAGACATTTTATTAACTTTCTCTATGTATTATTTGGTTTTACCCCATAATACTATTTTGATCTTATTTTTCCTTTCTGGTTATTCTTGTTTTCAATAATCTGAACATTTCCTAAGGTACAAGCATCTTTTAGGCTAAATTTTTTTTTAACAATTATAATGAATAAGTCTCAAATTTCTATCTACTGTTTTGATCTGTTCTATGAAATCTAGCCTAGCAGGTAAAAATGTTTACTGAATGCTTCAACTCGGAGGTTCTGTCTTCAACTAAAATGCATCATACTTTAAAATAGATTATTTTCTACCAAACTTCTTTCATTTCCTTTTCCAACATAGTACATTCTTTATACCATTAAAATTATTTTCATAATTTTAGTAAGTTATATAAACGTTCATTCATTTAAAGGCACTTACTCTAAGCACTATGCTAGGTTGAGGTGATAAAAATGGGAATAGGCCAGGCAAGATGGCTCACACCTATAATCCCAGCTACTTAAGAGGCTGAGGTGAAAGGATCACTTGATCCAGGAGGTCAAGAATGCAGCAAGCCATGATTATGCCACTGCACTCCAGCCTGGGTGAAAGCAACACCCTGCTTCAAAACAAACAAACAAACAAACAAACAAACAAAAAACAAAAATAAAAATAAAAAAAGGAAGAATAAATGAATAGGACCCTCTAATTCCTTCTTTTAAAGAGCTCAATATATTGGAAGAAAATTAAAGATAATCTTGAAATGAATGATCTCATGTGGTCTTATGGCTTTGACTACTTGTTATTTAATAAAGAGCACACTGCACAATGCATTTACAATCTGCCTTACTCCACAAGTCTATGAGCCTTTTTGTCTTTATTCCCACTGTCTGGTAGAATACTTGATACAAAGTAAAGGGAGATCAGAGCCAGGTGTATTGGCTCACACTTGTAATCCCAGCACTTTGAGAGGCTGAGGCGGGTGAAGCATTTGAGGTCAGCAGTTCAAGACCAGTCTGGCCAACATGGTGAAACCCGGTCTCTAAAAAAAAAAATGCAAAAAAAAAAAAAAAAAGCTAGGCATGGTGGCGGGTACCTGTAGTCCCAGCTACTGGGAGGCTGAGTCAGGAGAACTACTTAAGCCCAGGAGGTGAAGGCTGCAATAAGCCAAGATCACACCACTGCCCTCCAGCCTGGGTGACAAAGTAAGGCTCTATCTCAAAAAAAAAAAAAAAAAAAAAAAAAAAAAGCAAAGTACAGGGAGATCAGTAAATGTTCACTAAATGAACAAGGAATGAACAAACAAAAAACAAAAATACAAACACATAAAACACATATACATTTCCTCAGCTAAGATTCTGCCATAATCCATATCCATATATATAACTGTTTGGTCAAGATTTTTTCATTCATCCATTCATTCACTGAATATGTACTGAATGCCTACTATTTTACCAAGTACATCATTAGGTGCTACAGGTATAGAAGCGAACTTATTATATGGCAGAAGATGATTCATTTGTGAAGTAAAATAAAGCCAGAAAAGGGGGACAGAAAGGGTCTTAAGAAGGGGTGTTAGAGTTGGTAAAAAATAGCTTCTTTGATGACACTACAGCAAGAACTAAAGTGAATGACAGCCATACTACTAGGGGAACATTCCAGGCAGGGGGAAGTACTAGTAGGCTCTAAAGTTGGGGCCCGCTAGGAAGGTTCTGTTTAGAATAACAGGGTCTCTATATAGTAATAAGGACAACAAACATGGTGACATGATCTGATTTAAGAGGATCACTTAAGATGAAAAAAGTTGAGTAGATATTGAGATACCAACTTGAAGGCTACTGCAATAATCTAGGCAAGCAATGACGGCAACCTGAACAAGGGTGGTAGCAAGTGAAAACAGTAAGGTGGTTGAATTCTGGGTTTTTCAAGGCATACCAACAGAATTTGCCCTTAGTTTGGATACAGAAGGAAAAGAGAGGTCAAGACTCAATCAGAGGTTTTCAGTCTGAGCAACTGAAAAAATTATAGTTTTAATTTCGGAAATATGAAGTTTAAGATCCTAACAAATATGTAGTCAGCGATATCAAGCAATTAGTTGAATATCTAAGCCCGTTGAAGAGAGAACTCAGGAAATAATATAATAAAATAATATGCCATAGGCATCTCAAATTCAATGCTACAATCTTAACCTAATTTTTCCCAAACTTTCTATTTGCTGCCTGTCTCGTTTTCCTACACTAAGTGCCCTCACTTACCTAGCAACCTGAAAATCATCTGAATTTCCCCCTTTGCCTTTCTCTCTTTCACCTAAAATTGTTAATTTTAGGTGTCAACTTAACTGGATTGAAGAAAGAGGATTTGCCCTCTCTGCTTGCTCTCTCCCTTCAGGAAGAGGATACTTTTTCCCTCCTGCTTTTGGATATCAGACTACAGGTTCTTCAACTTTTGGATTCTGGAACTTGCACCAGTGGCCCCTTGTGAGGCTGTCAGGCCTGACTGCAGTGTCAGTTTCCCAGCTTCTAAGTCTTTGGACTTGGACCGAGACACACTACTGGCTTTGAGCCAGCCACATTACCAGCTTCTCTGGTTTGCAGGCGACCAATTGTGGGACTTTGTTGTGATTGTGTGTCAGTTCCTCCTAATGAATTCCCTTACATACACCCTACATGTTCTGTCTCTTTGGAGAAGCCTGACTAACATGCCAACCTGTCAGTTACCAGATTTGGGGTTGCCACCTCTACACCGTCTTCTAAATGGCTCCTATTGCTATCTTAGTTCATAGCTTATGTCTCACACTTTGACTACTACTACTGGCCCTTAACCCATTCAGTCTTTAGTCCCTCCCAATTCATTTCCCAATCTACTGCTGAACTGGAAAAAATTAAATATGATGTCATTTCTCTACATAAAATTTGTCAATGGCTGCTCCTGTAAGACAAAGCTCAAGCTCTTTAGTATAGAAGACAATGCCTTTTATGACTTGGTCTCAATACATTTTTAACTCCATCTATAGTCTTTTTCCTCTACCACTGTCTAGTATTCTAACCATCTAGACCTCCACATAGGTCCCCAAGTACATCATGGTCTGTGCTATCATGCAAGCTACTATCCTCTACCTTAACTGTATCTTTATTTTGCCTGCTTATTAGTACACTACCATTTTTTTCAAGACAACTAAACTGCTCAATACTCAACTGAAGCTAAGCCTTTAAAAAGTAGACAATAATTCAGAAATACTTTTAAAACTCTAGGATTACACAAGTGGAAAAGTCAAATTCAAACTAGAGATTGTAAAATCTCATTACTGCATATGAAAGAAACTTGCAGTAAGATTTTCCAAATAGAACTTATAAAAACAAAATTGTATAAACTATATATGTAATGAATAAAACCTATTATAATTTTTATAAACGTCAGTAGCCACCATTTCTATAGTAAAGCAGATTCACGTATATCAAAAATTTCAAAAGATAATCAGCCCACTTTAAGATATGACTAATATTAATAACCTTCTATTAAGTGATTTGTCTCAGATTTGCTTTTTGAATGTGCTATTCTCTTACTGTCTTTTAAAACAAGTAACTTTTTTTATTATTTTTATCACTCCTGTCATTATAATCTTAAACATTCTGATTTTTATTGTCTTTTACTATTGTTTCCTTTGAACTTTGAGTAAAAAAATACCTACTTCTTCTGTATTTATCTAATTTCATGCTATCTTTATCTAATGATAAGCCAATTACCTTCTTTAGCTTCCAAATGGTGCTCATATCTGATTCATATAAAAAACAATCTAAGTTTAAAGGTAATGTGAAGGGCAATTCCTTGTGCTTAAGAAAATTAAATTAGAAAAGAAAAATCTTTCTTTTGTTCTTAAATTATTAAAATACTCCCAATTAGAGTATGTTGACCCTGCTTAGTTCATCAAAAAATGAAAAAAAATAAAAAAAAAAAAGAAGAAACCCATCTAATTGTACTATATGTTAGGAGACTTGCTTTCTACTTTCAGTGTTTTGACTAGCCAATTTGAGAAATGTTACCACTAGTGATATGGTTTGGCTGTGTTCTCTCTCAAATCTCATCTTGAATTGTAGTTCCCATAATCCCCATGTGTGGTGGGAAGGATACTAGGGTACTTCTTCATAGCAGCATGAGAACAGACTAACATAGTAATTTGGTACTCAGTAGTGGGGCACTGTTGAAAGATACCCAAAAATGTGGAAGCAATTTTGGAACTGGGTAACAGTTCCCCACAGTGGGAGGTAACTGAATCATAAGGGTGGTTACCCCCATGCTAATGTTATTGTGATAGTGAGCGAGTTCTCAGGACATCTTACAGTTTAAGGGGCTTTGGCCTCTTTGTTCAGCATTTCTCTCTCCAGCCACCCTGTGAAGAAGAACGTGTCTGCTTCTCCTTCCGCTATGATTGTACTTCCTCTTCCACCATGATTGTAAATTTCCTAAGAACTCCCCAGCCATGTGGAACTGTGAGTCAATTAAACCTCTTTCCTTTATAAACAACCCACTCTCAGGTACTTCCTCATAGCAACATGACAATGGACTAACACAGTAATTTGGTGCTGGGTAGTGGGGCACTGTTGTAAAGATACCTAAAAATGAAGAACAATTTTGGAACTGGGTAACAGGCAGAGATTGGAACAGTTTAGAGGGTGCAGAGGAAGAAGGAAGACGTAGGAAAGTTTGAAACTTCCTAGAGACTTATTGAATGGTTTTGACCAAAATGCTGATAGTGATATAAACAATGAAGTCCAGGCTGAGGTGTTCTCAGATGGAGATTAGAAACTTGTTGAAAACTAAAGCAAAGGTCACTCTGGTTATGCTTTGGCAAAGAGCCTAGTGGCATTTTGCCCCGGCCCTAGATATCTGTGGAACTCTGAACTTGAGGGAGGTAATTTAGGGTATCTGACAGAAGAAATTTCTAAGCAGCAAAGTGTTCAAAAGGAAGCAGAGCATAAAAGGTTGAAAACTTTGCAGCCTGATGTGACAGAAAAAAAAATTTCTGGGGAGAAATTCAGTGGCTGCGGAAATCTGCCTAAGTAATAAGGAGCCAAATGTTAATTGCCAAGACAATGGGAAAAATGTCCCCAGGTCATGTCTGAGATTTTCATGGCAGCCCTTCCCATCATAGGCCTGGAGGCCTGAGAGGGAAAAATGGTTTAATGGGTCAGGTCCACAGCCCCCCCTGCTGTGAGCAGCCTTGGGACTTGGTGCCCTGTGTCTCAGCTACTCCACCCGTGGCTAAATAGGGCCAACATACAGCTCAGGTCACTGCTTCAGAGGTTGTAAGCCCCAAGCCTTTGTGATTTCCATGTGGTATTGGGCCTATGGGTATGTAGAAGTCAAGAACTGAGGTTTGGGACCCTCCGCCTAGATTTCAGAGGTTGCATGAAAAGGCCTGAATGTCCAAGCAGAAGTCTGCTGCAGAGGCAGAGCCCTCATGGAGAACTTCTGCTGGGGCATTGAGGAAGGGATAGGTGAGTTCAGAGCCCCCATACAGAGTCTCCACTGGGATACTGCTCATGGAGCTGTGAGAAGAGGGCCACCATCCTCCAGAGATAGATCCACCAACAGCTTGCACTGTGTGCCTAGAATAGCCACAGACACTCAATATCAGCCCATGAAAAGAGCCAGGAGTGGGGCTGTACCCTGCAAAGCTACAGGAGCAGAGCTATCGAAGCCTGTGGGAGCCCACCTCTTGTATAAGCATGACCTGGATGTGAGACATGAAATCAAAGGAAATCATTTTGGAACTTTAATGTTTAATAATGACCCTACTGGATTTCAGATTTGCCTAGGGCCTGTAGTCCCTTGTTTTGGTCAATTTCTCCCATTTGGAACATGCATATTTACCCAATGCCTGTACATCCACTGTATCTAGGAAGTAACTAACTTGCTCTTAACTTTACATGCTCACAGGTAGAAGGAATTTGCCTTGTATCAGGTGAGACTTTGAACTCGAACTTTTGGATTAATGTTGGAATGAGTTAAGACTTTGAGGGACTGTTGGGAAGACATGATTGTGTTTTGAAAAGTGAGGGCGTGAGTTTTGGAAGGGGCCAGGAATAGAATGACATGATTTGGCTGTGTTCCCACCCAAATCTCGAATTGTAGTTCCCGCAATCCCCACAAGTCATGGGAAGGACTCCATGGGAGGTAACTCAATCATGGAGGCAGTTACCACCAGTGCTGCTGTTCTTGTGATAGTGAGTGAGTTCTCATGAGATCTGCTGGTTTTATAAGGCACTTTTCAATTTTTGCTCAGTACTTCTCTCTCCTGCTACCATGTGAAGAAGGATGTCTGCTTTCCCTTCTGTCACGATTGCCTGATTGTAAGTTTCCTGAGGCCTCCCCAGCCCTGTGAAACTATAAGTCAATTAAATCTTTTCCCTTTACAAATTACCAAGTCTTGGGCATTTCTTCATAGCAGCTTAATTATAAAAAAGCACCCTAAATATATCTCTAGTTGTGTTAGTCCATGAGAATGGACTTCCCTAAGAATGCTTTCCCTTCCGTCATGATTGCATGACTGTAAGTTTCCTGAGGCCTCCTCATTAGTCATTAGTCCATGAGAATGGACTGATACAACTAGAGATAAACTTAGGTTGCTTTTTTTATAATTATTGAAATCTGTTAGAGATGCCCCTATACTTTTGTTTCTTTGGAATTGAGATATGCTATATAAATTTATGCATTCCCATTATATGTATCAAATGAACATCATGAAGTATTTTCTAGGAGACATTTTAAATAAAATGCAGTATGGTACAGTGGTACAGTCTGTGGGCTCAAGATATCTTTCATATTGTTTAGGACAAATCTGTTCTACAGTACTACCACTTCCTACCTGTATGATCTTGGGTAAATCACTAAGCCTCAATTTTCTCATCTAGAAATGGGGTAACAGAATTCCTATGAGGATGAAATGAAGAAATGCATGTGAAGCTCTTTGCTCAATGCCTAATGTAATAGCCATTTAATAACAGTTAGCACTATCATTACTACTACTATTACTGCTAGCACTTAGCTTTTCATCTCCAGGGTCATCTCATCTACTAGTTCCCAGAATTCCCCCTCCTTATGGTTTTCCTAGGTTTACTTTTCACAACTTTATATATCCTAAGCTCTAACAATGTACCAACCACTGTCACCTAGATGTCTTTTAGTACTATAAACTCAACATATACTCATGTAGTTCCTCAGCATGTTTGTCTCATCTCATACTTTCCCACATGAATTCATCTAATCATCACTTCTTCAAATGGAAACTTTAGTGAGTTAGCCTTAATTTTTCCTTCATATCCACATTCAATTTTTCACCAAACTGTTCTAGTTTTACTTCAATATTTCCTCAAGATAGCCTTGTTCTTCATTTCAAATGTAACAGGTTTTGGCTCTTATCATCTTCCACCCGGACTAATTTGAAAACCTTCAAGGAATGCATGTCATCATATATCCTACATTCTATTTTCATCCTCCAAGTTGCCATAAGCTTTATACTAAAAACCAAATCCAACCAGATTAATTCATTGCTTAGAGATCTTTGTTACATCTGTCCAATGCCAACAAAATAGATTTCCTTCACCATCTGGCTTCATTCTATCTTTTCAGGCCTTACCTCCTACAAATCCCGCCCTGACTTAGCATCTCCATTACAGTCCCAATGAATGTATGTTTTCCAGTCTACATATGCTATGTACATCTCCAATTTTTCTTTTCTTTTCTTTTTTTTTAAAGAATTTTTTTTTTTTACTAAAGAAACAGGGTCTCAATCTGTTGCCCAGGCTGGAGTGCAGTGATGCGATCGTAGCTCACAGTAACCTTGTATTCCTGGCCTCAAGCAAGCCTCTAGCCTCAGCCTCCCAAAGCACAGGAATTATAGGCATGAGCCACTGTGCTTGGCCTTCCAATTCCTTTTCTTTGCATATTTTGATACCCTGCCTTTTCTGTACATCAGTTCCCTTCTTTGCCAAGAAAACTCCTTCTAAAGGTCATCACTCTGAAACATTTCCTCACTATAGCTTTTTCTATTCTCCCACAACATTCTGTTCCTACATATTTTATTACATAGCACACTGTATTGTGAAGCTCTCGTTATTTGCCACTTCTGCTAGACTGTGAAATCCTTAAGGACTGTCTTGCTTTTTAAATTAACACCCAGCACATAGAATATCTGCTAGCACACTAATCAATATTGAATGAATCCTTTTTAATCAGCCCTGCTTACAGTTTTGCTAAGTTTCCCTTATGTAGAAGGAAACCCAATGCAAGAAACTTTCAGTACAACTCCACACCTTTTCTAGTTCATAACAATTGCTAACATCAGATAAAAAATAGGAGCCTTAAATGTTTGTTTTAAAGAATTACCATTGTTTGACAGGAAACTGTGATCTGAGCTGTCTGAGCACTCATCAGAGCAAAATGGGCAGGTAAGTTCTTCTTGCTACCTTGTGATGCTTTATACCTATTCTTTAGTTTACTCACCTCTAGAAGATCCCATGACTCTAAAATGCTTGTCTAGAACATGGCGGTTAAAAGCTCTTCTGTGTGCTTATTCAGGCTCCAGTTTATAACCACTTTTCTACTGCATGTCTTGTTTTTCCTGGGCTCTAGTTACCTTCAATCACTTTTTATAACACCTCAATTCTATTTTAGGTTTTTCTCAGTTTTAGTGCTTAAGATAGTTTTTTTAAAAACAAATCCACAGTTGGATAGATGCAGTCACTATGCCTGTAATCCCGGGACTTTGGGAGGCCAAGGGAGGTGGATTGCTTGAGTTCAGGAGGTCAAGACCAGCCTGACCAACAAGGTGAAACCCCATCTCTACTAAAAATACAAAAAACAGCCATGTGTGGTGGCATGTGCCTATAGTCCCAGCTCCTCAGGAGGCTGAGGTGGGAGGATCGCTCGGGCCTGGGAGGTTGAGGCTGTAGTGAGCCATGATCATGTCACTGCACTCTAGTCTGTCTCAAAACAAACTAAAACAAAACAAAACAAAACAAACCCACAGTCATCACGAATTTTCCTAACCCCAAGGAATAAAAAAGTCTCCTTTCAAGAAATGTATTTGCCTTCTATTCCTTTCTAATCCCTAGTTTCTATTTTTTGATGAACCACATTTCAGCAGCAGTCAGCCCTCTACATCAATTTTTTATACCATTCCTCTATCATTTGACCTTAGTAAAACACAGCTCTAATAATATGTCTGATCACTGCCTAAAGATAATGAAATATAACAAAAATCACATGCAGCAATTTGTGTGTGTGTGTGTTGCCCAAAGGTACTGAAGCAGTAACCATACATAAACACATAATTTTTTAAAATTGTAGTAAAATAAACATAAAATAAAATTTACCATCTTAACCTTTTTTTTTGTTTTGTTTTGAAAAAGGGTCTCACTCTGTCACCCAGGCTGGAACGTAGTGACGTGATCACAGCTCACTGCAGCCTCGAACTCCTAGGCTAAAGCCATCCTCACCTGCTTAGCTGGGATTACAGGTCTTAACTATTTTTAACTGTACAGTTCAGTAGTGTTAAGTACATTCAGACTATTGGGTAATGCAACCACAGAGCTCTTTCCATCTCGCAAAAGTAAAACTCTGCCCATTAAACAACTGTCTTTTCTCCCCGTATACCAGCCCCTGGCAATCATCATTCTATTTTCTCTACAAATCTGACTACTCTAGGTATCTCATATACATAGATTCATCCGTTTTTTGTTGTTGTTGTTGTTGGCCATTGGCTTATGTCAGTTAGCATAAAGTCCCCCATGTCGTAGCATATGTTGGATTTCTTTCCTTCCTAAGTCTGAATAATATTTCACTGTATGTACAGTCCACATTTTGTTTACTTATTCATCCATGAATGGACATTATGCTTGCTTTCACCTTTTGGCTAATATGAATAATTTGTACACCCATGTCTGTACAAATATCTCTTCAAAGAGTTATTTTAAATTCTTTTGGGTAGGCCAGGAGTGGTGGCTCACGCTTGTAATCCCAGCACTTTGGGAGACCGAGGCAGGCTGATCACCTGAGGTCAAGAGTTGGAGACCAGCCTGGCCAACATGGTGAAACCCCATCTCTATTAAAAATAAAAAATATTAGCCAGGTGTAGTGGCGGGCACCTGTAATCCCAGCTACTCAGGAGGCTGAGGCAAGGAGAATAGCTTGAACCCGGGAGGCAGAGGTTGCAGTGAACCCAGATTGCACCACTGCACTCCAGCCTGGGTGACAGAGCGAAACTCTCGCCTCAAAAAAAAAAGAAAAAAAAATTCTTTTGGGTATATTTCTAGAAGAGGAGTTCCTGGATCATATTTTACATTTACATACATATATATACACACATAGAGCTTTATTAGGATATAATTCCTATAGCATTTAAAGTGTAGAATTCAATGGTATTTTTAGTGAATTTGAGGAGTGGTGTAACCACCATCATCATCAACTTTAGAATACTCCTCACTCTTAGGAGAATGAACTCTGTACCATTAGCAATCACTCCTATCTATAAATGAATACCTCCCAAATTTATATATCCATTTTATAATTCCAGACTCACATATTCAATAGTTTGGATATCTAACAGGCAAAACAAATTTAACATGCCTGAAAATGAAGCCCTGATCTTTCTGTATAAAACCTACTCTTCTTATAATATTCACATCTCAAACAGAAACTTTATCCATCCATTTGTTCAAACCAAAAATCTTAGAATCTTCTCTTTTTCACACTTTGTATCTAATACTCAATAATTCTCTTGGCCAAGCCTTCAAAATATATGCATAATCCAACCTCTTCTCATCACTTTACTACCAGTCAAAAATAAATCACCTTATTTTACCTGAATTACAGCAATTATTTCCTAACCGGTATCTTACTTCTGTCTTTGCCTTCCTATAATCTATTTTCAACAAAAGTCAGAGAGATCTTTTCTAAAAGTATATTAAGTCATGTCAATCCTCTGCCTCAATCCCTCCACTGGCTTTCTATTTCACTCAGGTTAAAAGCCAGAGTCTTTCCAATAGCTCACAAGGCCTTCTGTGATTTGGTCTCCTGCTACTTCTCCTCATCTCCTACCTACCTCTTCCTTTGCTCTGCCTATCCAGTCATGCTGGTTTACTTGCTGCTTCTCTGCATATGCAAGGCACTCTCCCATTCTTGAACTCATTGCTCCCTCTGTCTGGAATGCTCTTTCCCCACATCAAGATGACTCATTTCCTCACAGCATTCACATCTCGGCTTAAACGACCCCTTATCAATGAGGCCTTCTTGACCACACTATTTAACTGCAACATGCCACATCTACACTGTGCACTTTTTATGTCCCCTTTGCCTGCTTTATTTGCTCCAAAACTTTTGCTTCCATATAATTATATGCCTAATCCTGCTGCTTGTGACACTTCTTTTAACTTTAAAAATACTTAAAAGATAGAGTTGAGAACAGTCAGTATATTTTAGAAAACAGAATCTTACTGTACTATTGTTTTGCAAGCTGAATTCATTTTTTTCATTCAATTATGATTGTCTTTCAATGTCAACAATTTTTTTTTTTTTGCTGGAAAAGTATATTCTTTCTAAAACATTTTTTCCATTTAGGTTGCTTTTCATTTTACCTTGCCGATTAACTTCATTTTGAAGTAGCTCTTCCATCGCCTCCTCCTCTGCAATATCTAAGGGTGTGTCTCCTTCACTATTGACAGCCCCAACATGTGCTCCCTGACCAATCAAAAACCTGTAAAACCAAAGGGAAAACAGTTAAGCAAAAGATATTATCATTGAAATAAAACTAAATGCATAACCATTGAGGAAAGTTCCTATATAAAGCAGTAATAAAAAAATCAAGGACAGTATACACATTATTTAAATTTTAAAAAACCAGCCCAGAGCATGTTTTAAATTTTTTTTAAATTTATATTTCCTAATTTTTTTATAATGTATGCACCTTGCTTTACCAATATAAAAATGTTAATTTTTAATAATTAGAAAGTCTTTCATAAAAATGCTAATTTTTAATAATAATTAGAAAGTCTCATAGGATCCACCTCCACTGAAGACTTTTTATTATCTCCATATGGACTGGTTTCCTTACTGATCTCTGTGCTCCCAAACTCATCTACAAGCAAGAGTTCTTAAGCTGGGGTTCAATAAAATTCACAAGTTTCATTAAAAAAAAATCAATTAACACAGATATATTAAATTATTGCTTCACTATTTTTAAATTAGTTATTAAACCCATCATTGTCTTTTTATTTAATATTTTACTTAAGAAGCAGATAAACAATTACACTACAAACATATTTTTAAAATATTTTGATAAGTGCATTCCAATATAACTGGCTTCTGTGTACTCTATATTTTAATTTATGCATCCAAAACACAATTCTAAGAAAGTATCTATAGGCTTTATCAAACCTGCCAAAGGGATTCAGATACAAAAAAGTTATTAATCTCTTTAACCATGTCAACAGCACATCTCCCAGAGTCATCTAGTGAACCACGTAACCATCTATTACCCAAGTCAATTCCTAACTTAAAAAAATTTTTGAATGGCTCCACCATGCTAGGAGTAAAGATAATATATGGCCCTCACTGACCTGGCCTCGTCTTCTTTGTTAGCCTCCTCCTTCTTCCTGCCTGTATCACTTTAGGCTCCAAAAATATAGCACTACTTGTAGTTCTAGATTAAACCATATTATTTGGGTATCCCTGGTTTTATTTTTCCATATGCAAAGAATGGGCCTTTTTCTTTATGTTCCTAACCAATTTAATTCATTCATATTTAGACCATATAAAAATATTCTCATTATAAAAGAGCAAAAAAAAAAAAAAGTACACATCTACAGAGGGAAAAAAGAACTCCTTTATACCTCTCCTACTATTACGTTCCTTTTCCCAGAGATAACCACTAACAACAGTAGGGCAAAACTCTTTCCAGTACCTCTGCCATAAATGTACATGTGTGTAAACATACATACATCATCACTTTTGGAGTTCGTTTTGTAAAGCACACATTAATGAGATTATTATAAACGAAGTATAATGTAACTCTTCTCTTCTAACACCTGAAAAATATTCCACAGTATGTCTGGTTCATACCTTCATTTAATACTATTCTCTTAATAGATGTGCACTTAATTGACAGTTGAAACAAACCATCTTTTAAAATTTTACCAACATCATGGAGCTAAACATGTTGTCATAGCTTTAATTTATATTTTCTGATTACACACGAGACTGAAAATATTTAGATATATTTACTGGCATTTGTATTTCTCCTTTTGTGAACTGCTTATTTACATTCTTTGCTAGTATTTCAATTGCCTTCATTAATTCAATCAATATTTATGGAGTGTCTGGTATGCATCTGGCACTATGCTACATACCAGGAATATAATGATAAGCAAAAAGAAACACACACCTTTCCTTCAAAAAGTTTACAGTCTAGTAAGAGAGTCAGATTAAATACACAAATAAATGTAAAGCTGTGGTAGGTCACGTAACAGAATTAGGTGGTGTCTAGGATTAAAAGGAAAAATGGATTTAGTAAAGGCAGAAAAGGATTCTCTGATAATAATGTAGGTACTAACAAAAGAGAATAGAAGGGCAATATGCTGTAGGTAAAAAAGAACAAAATCAATGAAGTCTTGTGATAGGAAGTATGTATAGCTAGATGGAGGCCCAGTTCATTTTCCTCAGAGTAAATGAAATAACTGATCAATCTCTATATACTTTATACACACTCACACACCCCCTCTAACAGTGGTTACCTCTAAGAGATAGAGGAAGAGAGATTTATATTG